TGTCAAAATGATCATTACCAAAAGCACCACTGAAACCAGGCATTTTGTGAGAGTTACGATATGGTCCAAAATTTTTGGCCAGACCATTCTGGCCAATCCAAACCTCTAACAACAATTTCATAGGCACCGCTATGCTTAAGGCCTTAAATCCTCAATACTGGAAAAATTAACAACCCGAAGTCTCAAAACAACATTGTCAACCACATCAGTCATAATTCCAAAGCCTGACAAGTCTATGCCCTCAAGCCAATGGATCGGACTTTACAAAATCAGAAAACATCACCATCACCCTAGCCACAATGATTCCCAACAAGACGATGCACCCAAAATCCTCCACGTCATCCTAAAGCTGACCTACTACAAGGCTACGCCTAGGAATCAAGAAACCAGATCAAGCTCACACACGCAATCCTAACAACCAAGGTCATATAACCCCAAGTACAGTATATGAATGATAAAAGAAATGAACTAATAACACAATTAGTCATGAAAATATATATATATATATATATATATATATATATGCAAGTATACATTCACAAGTATACTAAAAAATATCGAAACAGAAACGCAATATGTATATATATGTATAAGTATACATCAACAAGTATACTAAGCAGTACTAAATCCATAATAGACAAGTCTACGGGCTCAAGTATACTAAACCAAAATGAACTGAAATAAACAACGCGCAAGCATGCTAGGTATAAGTATACTAAACGTAAATGAAATTCTACGAACAATTTTACAGAAACCAAATCGCACCATATAACTAAACTTATAGTGCAAGGGCAATCAAATATACTACCTATCATATAGGGGTCAAGCATCGAAGACACGTTACATATTACCTATGACGCTAGCACGCTAAACAGATATAGTAAATGAAAAAACATCATCTATATCAGCACATAACTACCAAATAGTAACATCCCCAAAACATGTTTTTAAGGCATGCTCAAAACAACAAGGCATATAAACATATAAGAATGACTATGCAAAGAACAATTTTGCAAAATCATAAGCAATGAGGGATAAAATGCCTCTCAAAAGGAAGATCTCACTAAAAATGAATTCCAAAAACCCGGATGAGTCCAATCCCTCACCTCGAGGAAGTGAATCATCTCCTAGAATGGACACTGAGGTCCCTGAAACAAGGAATTTACAGGTCTGTCCCAAGACTGACTCAAACCCAAGGTGAAGTCCTAACACAACTCAAAACAAACCAATGATGTAATGAATAGTTCCAATACTAACCACTACGAGACACCAGCAAGAGAACACCTTTAAAGACATCAATGAGTTCGATGGAAACTCTACAGGATCATATAGGAACCCTAGCACGAAATCCCAAGTTTCTAAGGACGAGGGAGAGTAATTAATTGCACCAATACAATTAATTACACGAAATCACTCACACCCCAACCTTAGCTCGTAAGAGCTGTCCAAGGCAAGATAAGAAGAATCACAGGTCAACGCACCTATCAAATCCCTTACCATCACCCTAAGAAGAAAAGACACAAGAACCCCACCGTTGAGGCTCAAGAAAATAAACCACTCAATCCCTAAGGAAGGACTCAAGTCAATCCGAATCATCGTCCTATGACACTAGAAACAAGACCTCATTGATGTCACCATATCAAGGTCACCATGAAACCCCAAGAGATGTTCCCAACACCCTAGACACTCCCCAACTACATCGTGAGATTACAAATGAAAAAGGAAATGAAATGGTGCCTCCCTAACCCATGTCTCACTCCACCAGACAAGGACTGCGGCTCTACACTCACATGAGCCTTACTCGCATCAACCGTCAGACTAAGTTCTCGAAACACACAAACCAACAAAATAGACAAGAAGGTTCTTAACATGGGTTCCTTACAAAATGAATTTCTGCTACCTAAGGGAGAAACTCCGTAAGACAAGGATGTATCCTAAGGGATACAATGCACTCCAAGAGACAATGCCCTAGCATCATCTTAACCAACCAAGCTGGAACAACCCGCAATGCCTAAACAAGACATAGAAATAAACAGTTAACACATAACATAGCAATGGACTACATGTTTAAACAAGTAGAAAAGAATCACATAAGGCATGTCAATGTATGCATCATACAATCATGCTAAGAATAACAAGCACATGCAATTGGCCAAAGCAAACAAGCATAACCTTTATGCTAAGCAGACAAACATAAATCAACATGCTAAGGCAGTCAGGTATATACAATGTACTAAAGCAAACAAGCACATATATCTTTCTGAGATAAATAGAGTAAACTCCTAAACATACGTCCATATAAGCACGTAAACATGTTATCAAGAAACAATTAAAAATGTAGAGCATGGAAACACAAGTATGACATGCACCCAAAACCCGTCATCCTAAGGTTTTCGAACCTAGGAGCTCTGATACCACATGTGACGACCCTAGATTTTACAAACCCAGTGTGTCCTGTCATGATCCAAAATGGATCCAAAAATGCAGAAGCTAAAAACAAACATGGCCTCTAGAGATGTACATCATCCCTAAGACACAAAAGTGGCTTCCTGAGGAGTCCCGAGGCTTAACGGAAGCAAGAAGGAAACAAGGGTTCCAAAACCCTACAAGAAATGGACCAAGGGTAAAATAGTCATTTTACCTAGAAATGCATGCCACCGTGTACACCATTGGAAAGACAACAAAAAGTTAATAAAGTTAGACTCAAGAATCACTTGATTCAGAGTCCGGACGAAAAAGATATGAAACTAGAACAAAATGGTGTCCTCCGATTAAGAGATACCACGACCCTATCTCACTAAAGCTATCATAACTCTCACTATGGTTGGAGTTTTTATGTGTGGTTGGTACCATTAGAAAGATAACTTCACTCTCTTGAATTTACAATCAAGAATCACCCAATTTGGTTTAGAAATGAGGGAGATATGACCCTCCGAAATTATCTCAGGAAAGTTGTCCAAGAAACTGTAAAGAAATCAAGCTTCAGGGAGGATAAGCCGACCGACGGCTAGGACCAGCTAACTAAAAGTGCATCATCAGCCGGTTGATGGCAAGGATTAGCTGGCTGAAATGACCTTTTTCACAAGAAAACTCACTAGAATTGGTCTCAAGAGGTTATCAGCCGACTAATGGTTCTTATCAGCCGACCAACGCAACAGATAGCAACAAAAGTTGCTATTGCAATGTGTGGGGAAGGTGCTCGGTCCAATTCTAATGTTATACATGCATCCCATATGTCCCAAAACAAGTGCAAAAACATTCCATGGACTTATATAAGCATTTACAACATGATAAACCAAAAGAGAAGCTTAAATCCTGCTCCAATGCATGAATTTTTGCATAAAACTCATAAATCACCCTATAAAAGTTCCAAAACTAAAATTCAAGGTTTTTGTGAGATGTGGACATGCACGTAAACGTAAAAAGACATTTAAGACGTGTCCCAATGGCCCACGGCTTCAAAAATAACCCCAATGCAAAATTTGACCTCTCAAAATTCAATTTTTCATAAAATTGCCTAAAATGCAATAAATGAGACCAAAATGCATAACCTAAAACAAAATAGTGTTTGGCCCTTGGTCACACCTCATATATGGTTAATGAGACTCTATGAAAGAATAAAAATGGAATTCCCACACCAATGCAAACATGGTGAAGCAATGACTTGACATTTTTCATTATTTCCATAATAAACCTTGAAGTAAAAATGCATAGAATACAAATTAGATGTCATTGGCCTATGGCCTCATCTCACATATGGAAAATACATTGTAAATAGTGTACACATGTACACATTACATATTTAGAATCAAATATACAAATTTTGACATATAAGGCCACAAGTGACATTTAAAGCCAACCTTTACAAGAATTGAAACATTCAAGTCTACAAATCATCCAAGCATAATGAGAATCTCAACCTTGATTCCTCTACCTAAAAAAAGTCCCCGGTAACTTTGGGGTGAGTAACATAGAGCTACTCGTAAGAGAGGAGCATGCATGAACCTAACAATTTACAAGGTTATTATATTAATGTGAAACAATTCAAAAAGGAGTCATGCCACTTAGCGTCTATGTTAGAGGTGGGAGTAAGGGATCATTTCAATCTACTCATGCAATTAAAATGAACTACGACACATAAGTATACATGCTCTAGTACACAAGACAATGTTAAACATGATATATAACTTATAAGCATACATTTACAAGTATACTAAATCATGTTAAACTTGACAAGCAATATCTAGCATAAATACCCAAGTATTCAATATATGTAGAGCACTTATAAATCAAGTATACAAACACAAGTATACTAAGCTAAACGAAATACGCATAAGATAAGTATACACGGCACAAGCATACTAAATGAAATTTAAACTAGCAGAGCAAGTATACAAGTTCAAGTATACTAAATAGGATTCAAATACCCAAGGTAAGCGTCAATTCACAAGCTACAAGTAATCCATGATTAACAACTTCAAATTAAATGCTTAATCAAATAGTGGAAAGACTAGGACCCATGGTCTCTGACCAAGCAAGTTATTCTGGGTAATTACGAACCACAATGTACTACCTAGTACGCACTTATTACTTAGAAGACTCTTGTATTCGTACTAGAGCCAAACCCTAACCATCACATAAATTATATCCTCACAAGCTTTCCAAAATCAATAAGTCCAAAACTTATACAAAATCAAATGCAAGTTACCACATTCCATGCACAAGTAAGGTTGAATCCACATATCTAAATAGCATATGACATGTCATCTCCTCAATATGCAATTTATACACAAAGCAAGAATATTTCACAACAATTGAGCCACATCACCATCCAAAGCCACAAGTACTAAATAAGTTACAATTTAGTAACTAGCTTTAAAGGTAAGCAATTGTAATATAATAACAAGCTATATACCTATGCAAGAACAAGCTTTGTAAAACAATGATACCCTATATCATGCTAAGTCCAATTACCATGATTTAAACTGTAACTCCCCGAATTTTCTAAGTAATTTCCTCCATTCATTCAAATTCAAATACATCAATATTACACCCAAGATCTCAAAAAGAAATATCATTTTATTAATACAGAATCAATTCCTCAAATAAATATATAAAATTCTCTAAATAAATTAAATAATATCCTCAACACCAACCCTTCCATCTAAGCCCGCAACTAGCAATCCATAGTACCTGAAACCGAAAGGGGGTGAGACTGGGAAGTCCTAGTAAAAAAAACCATAATAAGGATTTCAAGAAGTTTCATGCAAAATTAACTTCACAAAAATATACATATACATTTAAACAAAATACATATATGCAATTTTAACAAAATATCATTCAATAAAATAATTGAAACAAAATCATTAGGCCATTCAAGGTATGAAGAACCCTCCACTGCAAAATAAGATTTCAGATCATCAAGCTTCAACTCTCGGCTCTCGTGTCTCAGACCTCTCTGCTCTTACTCTAATTTCTCTTCTTCTCTGATTCATTTACCTAAAGCCAAATACATATATAATCAATTCTACTGACACTCAACAAATATCTCAAAACAGCTCACCATGAAAATAAAATATCAAATATCAACACAATGATCACAATTTGAACCAAAAAACAATTGGGTCCCGCCACATCATCTCTTCCTTTTTCCACTAATGTCGGCAACCACCTCTTCTTTCCTACTTGCATCATCACCTATAGCAACTCTAAATTTCCATTCTTATCACCTAATTCCATCATCACAAATTGATACAAAATATATATATGTATCATAAATATCAAAACCCATTATCTCATTTCACATGGGACCCGAAACAAAACCAATTCCAATATTCTTTTCTCTTCGCAGCTTTCTTATTCCCTCCACCAGAAGCTATAGATACATGCATATATAATATATATATACAATGCAATAAATCAAATCAACCACCATCCGTCCAAAAAGAAAAAAGAGATTTGTAAATTTAACAAATCAAGACCCAATATCATTAATAATTAATCGCAAAAATTAAAAATGATAGAAATAAATATAAATTAAAATCTTAAAAATTCGGGTTGTCACATTCTCCACCAATTAAAAAGAATTTCGTCCTGAAATTCAGATCCAACAGTCTTCACATACTCAAAAACGTCAAAAAGTGACAAAACAAAATCTAAAAATCCTTACCCTAGGCAATGTGAGATACAGTGACATAAAAAATGTTATTGTAGCTGACAGTACTAGTTACCCGCCCACACACTCTATAACCGTTGTGGTAGAAAGCTAATGTCGTCACCTGCCCATAAAAAAATAAAACCAATAATGAACCCAGGACACATGCCTAATCACAAACAGTAATAATCTTAGTAGTTGCCAGTGAACGACATCTGCCCACACACATCCGGCTACAAGTGGTAACTAGTTAGAACTAACCACTTGCCCACTTACACCCATCAAATACATCATCACTACACTCACACTTCCGGCTGGGTATAGGCTCTGATACCATTCTGTAACGCCCCAAATTTTCTAAATAAATTCCTCGATTTATTCAAATTCAAATACATCAGTATTATACCCAGGATCTCAAAAAGAAATATCATTTTATTGATACAGAATCAATTCCTCAAATAAATATACAAAATTCTCTAAATAAATTAAATAATATCCTCAACACCAACTCTTCCACCTAAGCCCGCAACTAGCAATCCACGATACCTGAAACTGAAAGGGGGTGAGACGGGGAAGTCCCAGTAGGGAAAACCACAACAAGGATTTCAAGAAGTTTCATGCAAAATTAACTTCACAAAAATATACATATGCATTTAAACAAAATATATATATGCAATTTTAACAAAATATCATTCAATAAAATAATTGAAACAAAATCATTAGGCTATTCAAGGTATGAAGAACCCTACACTCCAAAAAAAGATTTCAGATCATCAAGCTTTAACTCTCGGCTCTCTGTGTGTCTCAAACCTCTCTGCTCTCACTCTAATTCTCTTCTTCCCTGATTCATTTACCCAAAGCCAAATACATATATAAGCAATTCTACCGACACCCAAAAAATATCTCAATACTTCTCACCAAGAAAATAAATATCAAATATCAACACAATGATCACAATTTGAACCAAAAAGCAATTGGGTCCCGCCACATCATCTCTTCCTTTTTCCACCAATGTCGGCAACCACCTTTTCTTTCTTACTTGCATCATCACCTATAGCAACTCTAACTTTCCATTCTTATCATCCGGTTCCATCATCACAAACTGATACAAAATATATATATATATATATATATGTATCATAAATATCAAAACCCATTATCTCATTTCATGTGGGACCCGAAGCAAAACCAATTCCAATCTTCTTTTCTCTTCGCAGCTTTCTTATTCCCTCCATCAGAAGCCATAGATACATACATATATAATATATATACAATACAATAAATCAAATCAACCACCATCCGTCCCAAAAAAAAAAAAAAAAAAAAAAAAAAAAAGATTTGTAAATTCAACAAATCAAGACCCAATATCATTAATAATTAATCTCAACAATTAAAAATGATAGAAATAAATATAAATTAAAATCTTAAAAATTCGGATTGTCATATAAACATAGAAATAACTTCTAAGGCATAATTAAATCCATGGAACAAGTAAATAGGATTTAATTAAATAAAATAATTAAACTCTATAGATCTCAAGTCAATTCCCAAAAACCTCAAATTAATATATATTAATGATCATATCATGGTCTTTACATATATCTCATCAAATATCAATTTAAGTGATTAAAACACTTAAAATAAAATTAATTAAGCCAATTAATTAATTTTCTCTACATTTTTAAACAATTCCAAATGTCCTCAATTTAACATAGGTTGAAGAACATACCAATGCTTACTTTAATATCACATTACAAGTTGATTTCATGATTATTACAACTATGTAACTTAATCTTTCATAAAAGACAAATATTAAATAAAATTTGCAATTCTTATTCAAATGTTCCCAATTTAATATATGTTGATACACATACCAAGGCTTAATTTACTATCATGCCATAATTTAATTATAAGGTGCATACCATTATGAGAATTAAATCTTAAACATAGAAAATAATTAAATTAAATTCTAGATCTTGAACAAAGGCATGCTCACAAGTTATATATGCTTATAAAACAATCAATACAACATTAATATAAACCTATAACATCTCCTACCTCAATTTGAAACAAAATCTCTAATCCCCACCGAAAAGAAACCGCTTCGAATCCGACGAAACTTTGGGGTTTCGTCAAGGACAACAAGGTGATCATTAAATCCCAAGGAGGTCACACCAAAATCCTAACTTGGCCTTAAACCTAAACTTAAAAAATGGCCGAAACGGGATTCCAATCAGTTAGAATCGAAGGTCTCGCCAAGGCGAACAATAAACACTAAGGCATCATCACTTGTTAATCAAGGGAGGAGGTTCAAAAGAGGAGAGAGAAAGTGGCAGCCCTTTGGGCTTCCATGGCTGCCGGCCAAGAGAGGGGAAAGATGTGAAAATATCTTATTTTTTATTTTAGAGACCCCTATTTATAGAAAAATCCTAAAAGGGCCCCGAACGGGTCCCGCCGGGTCAGAAAAAGTGGAATTTGAGTAGACGCACTCAAACGGCAAAACTCTGTGAACAAAAAAGAACCAAAATGAGAAAAATTGAACAACAAAAGGAACGGTGTCTAAAACCGAGTCCCGAGCAGAGAGATATGCCCCAAACAAGTTTGGCGCTAACCGAGGCTAAAAACCCAAAAATTGTAGAAAATGAGAGATGTACACAACTCGACGAAATATGAAAATAAACCCCATACAAGGATTCAAGCCCCAATGAGACACTTTACAATTAATTTTCATTAATTGCACAAAGGCCCCTACACATAAGGATAACTGAGCAAGTAACCCCTGAATGAAAAAAATTTCCAAAAGATATTTTCTTAAAAACCCCTAAAATAAATATCTTCAAAAGGTATTTATTAAAAACACCCCAAGAAACAAAAATGTTTCTGAAGAACTTCGCATCCATGCCCCTATGGACACCGGGAGCAACCAGAGTACTTTCCTACAAAAGTAAAGATACGTATTTTGTGGAAACCACTTAAGATGAAGGTACATGAAGTCCAAAACCAACTCCGAACACGAAAAGTGACATTGTGCCAAAAAGTGGAAAACAGGGAAAGGGGCGAAAAGTGAATAATGTCCAGAAATTTGAAAATGTGGAAATGACGTTGTCCTATAAGGAAGTTGTCAATCCAAAGGAAAGAGTCTCGGAAACCATTTTCAACCACTCATGATGACACTAAGTGACGACAAATCAAACTCAAAAAAGAAATTTTAACAAAAAAAAATTTATCCGTAAAATCTGAGGAAAAGGGAAAGGAAGGAAATAACCGGGTCATTACATGAAAGCTTTGTTATTTATATCTATTCATCTTTCATTTTTCTCTGTTATTTCATGAAATGACAAGCAACTACCTTATCCTTCCACCTTTTTGAGATGACAAAGGGGGAGAAAGATGTGTGATTTATATTTTGCTTATATCATTATGCTTATGTGTATATTGCTTTTCAAATAAATATTTTGATAAACGCATATTGATAGGGGGAGACTTATAAAAATATCATGAAATCTATATGTACTTAAATGACTAAGTATTTGTAGTAAAATCAAGCATGCTATGATATTGAAGATATGCATATTGATAGGGGGAGCATTTTTTCAAATGCAACTCCACTTTGAAAATAAACACATCAATGTTTTGTCATCATCAAAAAGGGGGAGATTGTTGGCCTAAAGATTTTATCTAAAGGTCAATCTAATGTTTTGATGATTACAAACCATTAATGATGTTTAAGTACTAATATTTTCATTGAGTTATATATAGATCATCATATTCAAATCTCAATGATGAGCTAAGGTCTATTGCAAGCATTCCAAGCAATGGATACAAAGTGATGAGCCAAAGTCTATTCTGCGCATTCTAAGCAATGGATTCAAGGAAACCTTAAAAGTTGCAAGAAATCAAAGAAAAACTCGGACTTCAAAGATCATTCAAGTATTTCAAAGAAAGGAAGCAAATCTTCATCAAGCCTAAACAATCGTGGTCAAGGAATGAAGAAAAGGGTAGATAAGATGGTGAGAGCTTAAGATTTAATGTCAAAGTATATTTAAATATATTTTGAATCACAAAATTATAGGATCATGCATATTCATTCTAATTCAGTTTTTAAATGCCTAAAATTTGCTCATGAACTTCATATATGCATTCTTACTCAAGCTACACATAATAGGAAGTGCATAGGACTTAATTAAATTCATTTTTAGTCTTGCACAGCAATAGAGCCGCCTCCACGCAAAGAGGAGCCTACTCTTTTCACTCCAGTAACTTATTTTGGCTCGTAAAACAAGTTTTTCATAAAAGAGCCGCTTCCTATTTTTGGGAGCCGCCTCTCTTGAAGTAGAGCCTGCTCCACACTAAATGGAGCCGCCTCCACTTGAAGAAGAGCCTGCTCCATTCATATTAAAGCTGCCTCTATTTTTAGAAAGAGCCGGCTCCTTTTGGGGAATTGAATACCAACGGTAATTTTTTCATTTAATGTTCTCCAACCACCTCTAACAGCTACATTGAGCTTCATTTCTCTAGAAATATAGATGGTTGGTCTACTGAATATTTACACCACTTGAAAGAGTATTCAAGAAGAGCATTCAATAGCCATAAATTTTTTCCTCTGAGCTTTCATTAATTTTCCCCTACATTCTTTCATCCTAGAACTTGAGCTTCATTTATATTCTTATCTACTCTAGTTGTGAGTTGAAATTATACATTTTTTCTTTGAGAGAGAAACAATCTTGTATTTCACTTCTATTATTTTAAACTTATAAGGGCTGGTGTAACCCAAATGAAGCCTAGAAGAAGGGTGTTCTCCTACCAAGGAAGGAAAGCAAAGTCTTACTTCAAATTAAAGGTTTGCTCTCCACCATTAAGGAGAACCTCTAATGAATTTGGGAAGTCTCAAGGGGGACCTTGAACCAAGGAGTAGGAGTCTCTGAAGCTCACTAAATCACTAAGTCGTTGTTTACAATTTCCTATCTCTGTCTCTTTTATACTTGTGCTATATATTGCTTGAATATTTCAATTGATTATTGCATGATGTTAGTTGGAAATAATTTTTTAGAATTTGTAAAAATTGGCTATTGACTCTATTCACCCCCCTCTAGAGTCAATTAGTGGTTAACAGCCGGAATAGCCGAAGAAGTTGAAGTTGGAGGATCACCTTCATGACTCTTCACCATCTTAGAAAGTAGAATCTCAACTTCTCAGGCCTTGGAACCCTCAGTGTATGGAAAATATACTTCCATGTCCATGTCAAAAGCTTCTGGATCCTTTAGCTTGTCACCTGAGCCTTGTGTAAAGCCAAATCTGAAAGCCTTAGCATTGGATAAGTGTACCAGAAAGAAATAACGATCCTGTATCTGTTTCCCATCGGTTGCGCAAGTATTAACTGAATCCCTCTAAAGTTGATTCTCGACCTCTAACTCCTTGACTTTGGCTTCAGAAGTTATAAAATTACCCTTGTATACATCTCTCGCATCATAGTCCATCTTGGCATACATACGCACATTAGAAAGCTTCTTTTCAGTAGCAACAAGATCTTTCTCTAACTTTCGAATAGAAATAGACTAAGCCTCAGCGGTCACTAATAAGGCCATGGTGTGATACAGATTCTACAAAATCAATCAGTGTATAAATAAAACGCAGTGACAAGTAAAAGAATAATAGAGTAAAGAAAGAAGACAAACCTCCATGGCTCGAATAGGGGCAGAGGGAAGAAACTACTCCAATCCCATACTTCCCATTATCTCTTCATCTTTGGGTAGCCACATCCCTCAGGCGACTGCCAATGTAGCAGAAGGATCTTTAACTACTGAATCTCCAGAACGAATGACTGATTTATCAGCCCTGGAAAAAGTGGGCCTCTAGGGTTCCCCTGTCTCTGCTAAGACAAAAGCCCTGACCTCTTCCTCTGATTCAGCTTCGTCAGTCTTTTTCCCTTTATTCTTTAAAAAATTAACACCTTTGTTTTTGGCTGCTGAGGGAGGGTTGAATTTAGGTTTTTTCTTTAAAGGAAGTTCTTCAACTTCTTTCTCTTGCTCAGTAGAGCGTATAACTGCAAGGGATTCGCTTTCTGCAGCTTTTTTCTTGAGAGCTTCAACCCATTTCTTTTCCTCGTCAGTCAGAGGAAAACTGTCAAAAGAAGGAAGTGACAAATCCATGAGATCGGCCGCTGCAGCACTAGAGGTAATCTCCTTAAGAATAGATGAAGAAAGGAAGTCCTTTGCAGAACGTG